AACCCTAAGGCACAAAACTCTAATGGGCACAAAACCCTAATGAGCGCAAAACCCTAATGGGCATCAAAACCCTAATAGGCAAGAAACCTAAAAAACCTAGAGCTCTGATACCATGTAGAGACTAAGGTTGGAGAGAATTCAATGTTAAGTATTCTCATTATTAAAGTCTATATATATAGACAAATATACAAGGTTGACCTAATCCTATAAGGGGAAGGTAAATGACAAATTAATATTAATACAAGAATATAAAATATACTAATATATACTCTAACAAGGAACATGAAATTTTTGTTTAGCAACACAGACTGTAAGGATACAACCTGAGTAAAAAAAGAAAAAAACAAACYAGAAGATCCATAAATTTTCAAAATGTTCAAGAGTTAGGTACATGATGCGACATAAATTTATTCCTGTGCCATTATTATGGACGCCATTTACACGTATGCAGTGCACTAATATACAAGCAAGAAACTTGCAGTTAAATCCATAACCTTGCCATTAACACAAATGTAATTAAAATCACAAATTCACATGCCATCATCCTCTCCCAAATAAAGAATGAAAATCTTACTTAATGCGTATTTCCGGATCAACTTGGGTGATGCTAGAACTTTGGGGCAAACGACCAAGCTGAAGATTACTATAAAAGTCAACCACAGCCCAAATAACTGGTTCATGAATGGTCAGCCTCCAAGATTTCTCATTAACCTATCATGACAACCAAGGTTTTCATGAGGTCGTGAAGGTACAGTTTCTTACTTCGTCATTCCAAATATTAAAAGATCATGCATTACCCGCACGTAAATGTATGGAAAGACTTGGATTCCAACACTATTCTCATTCTGCATTGTTACTGTCATCTTGAACGCAGGGTGATTTACATCTGTGGTTTGATCAGGAGCCAACAACACTGGCATCAATGTCAGAGGGAGTTGGTTATCGAGCTGCAAATTACCCAATATAAGCTTAAACCTGAAAAGCAGAAAATTTGTCAGTCTGATTCATAAACCTCGTAATCTTAAATCTTAATTACTCTAAGCTAATCGGCCAGRAAAAAAAGGACTAGCAGGAAAAAAAAACCTTGGTGATACTGTGAGGCCCCCGGTCGTAATTACTTACTCTAGGAAGGGTAGAAAAGAGAATTCCCCCACTGACAGTCACGACCGTGGGCCTCACAGATACATGCATATAACAGACCAAGCCTACAACAACCAGTCAACCAGAAAATAAAAGCTCAGTAACAGGATAAACCCTCATAACGTTTGTTCCTGGTTTTATTTATCACAGGTAAGGAATTGTCACAGTAAAAAATTAGGTCAACTGTTCCYAGTGAAGAACTCCAAAAGATATCATCGTCAAGGGGGAAGGAAGAAAGTGCACTAACCTATTTGTCGCTCCACCATCATATCCAGTTGAATATGAGATAAAAACTCTCTCCAGGTACATATAAGCGAGCTCTTTTGGCCTGTGGTCTATAATAGAAACCCCTACAACTCCTAACTCAACTATAAGCTCAGTAGGCGCTCCTGCTTCACTATCCTGCACTGGTCCCTGCATTTGAGACCTCCAATTTCTTGCAGCTGTTATGTATCCAATCTCGTCATGAGAGTCAGACTCCAAGTGTTGAGCGTCTCTAAGTGTAACTACTTTAATATCACCCTCTTTTGCTACATGGCAACATAATTCTGTTTCACCATCCTGTAAGGAGCATAACCCAGCACTATCATCAAGTTTCCAAACTCCTATCCTATTATCACCATTAATCTTAGTATCTAAGAAATGTAGACTATAAGGATCCTCCCAACAAAAATTTGTTGTTGATAGGGGTGGCAACAATATCCAAGCCTCTTCACCAAATCCATTCTGACGTATGCTGATTGTATTGCCAGTTCTGTTCTCAACCCTGATCAATCAAAGTTTTTGCTCAGTTAGGCACTACACTGAAACGTAAACATTGATACAAGTATGTAAAYGTACCTGATCGGCCCATCTGTTGATCCAACACGAAATACAATGATAAAACGTGATCCTTCTTCATAGCCACGAATTTCCATCCTCAAAAATGTACGAGTACCATCATATCTCCKCAAGACCAAAAATATGGTATCTTCCTTTATTATTTCAAGAGGAAATGACCAACTGGTATCTTGTAAACGGACCTACAAAGCAGATAAAAGTGAACACAAAATAAAATTAACAAATGGATATGATTGCATAATATAAAAGTTTAAATCAATCAATGTAATAACATTTTCTTGGAATACTTAAAAATAGCGGAGGAATAACAGTCATGAAGAGAAATATATGAAATAGAGCTAYAAGAACATTTTTTCCTTTTATTTATTTGAGTACAACTATAGGAAGTTGACTGACCTGGAGTTTATCATGTCCATCAGTTTGTTGAAATGCAAACGAAATTCTCGAATCACATGGATGAAGAACTTTTGGTTCATCTTCATTGCTTAACTTAATGAAAATAGCACGACCAAGCCGATTGGTAAAGGTCATGAACGGGCGGACACAAATCACCTGAAATCATATGGTTGTGATTTAAGAAAGTGCATAATGTATTCATTTTCAAAACTAAAATAAATTACCTTGGTAGGTACAGATTGATGGGGGCATGGTTTTGTAGATATGAAAAGCTGCATGCACTTTCCCTCATCATCATAAGCATAGAGATCTACGGACCCGTCCTGCAGACAGAATCAAATTAATGAAAATTAGTTAACCATTTTAGAAAGACAATGAGAMACAAATCATGAAACTCTTACCATGTCCCCTAGAGGAGATAAATCTTTAATGGGTCCAAACTGATTCTTCCCTGTTTGATTAATTGACACAGAGAGGCCCAGCAAATTAAAGTTCAGAGCAGAAGCAATAGTGTACCCTTCGTGTATTTCTTCTTCAGTTATTTCCTCGGATATRTCAATATTACTTTTGGACTTAAATGGGAGATAAATCTTTCGTGAATGTTTTCTCCCTGATATGTCTACAAGATGGAATGTAAGAGGAGGACATCTAAAAATGGAAAACCAATATGGTGCGTATAATCTGATTATCTTCTCGAGGAATGGATGTTCCTTGTTATGATTTTGCTCAAGAATGACTTGAACGATCCTGCAGAAACCACACTCATGTTGGTATCCATGAAAATAAACTGAGAAAGCAGAAAAGGTAGGGGTAAAAATTAGAACCGTCCAGTAATTGAACTTCTTAAATTTAATGTTCTTGATGGAACTCCATGAGGGTGGGATATAAGAACTGCTTCCTGTCAAAAGAAAGGAGGATGAAAGAAAACATCGGCACAGCAAGAATCTCTAAAAAATAAACTCATTTAGCAAGATGAAAGATAACTTAATTTACATGTACAGGAAGCCATCCTCTCTGCGGGAGGAGTGACATGAACAATGGATTTCTGATATCAGCATCATAAAGCTTCACAGTTTTGCCTGGATGAAGGATTCCTCTGGAGCAGCCAATGAAATGGCCACTTTTCTGTTTTTCTAGAACGGAAAACTCTGTCACAAGTGGAAGGTAATTGGTAATAGACAATGGAGCCTTGATAACAAGATTCCAGTCCTGGATAGGGTCAGAGTGTATATCTTTGGAAATTTCCGATGCTTGTATGCCTAAACAAAACCATAATCTATGGGAACTACTAGATGAAGTTCCGCTTGTCTGAATACAGTACAACAACTCCTCAGATTCACTCAGGGTGGAAACGCATATATCAGGGCAAACATTGGGCCTATTAGCATCCTCTTGATTAGGTTTATCTACAATTGAACTCCAAGAGTACTCGTCACAACTATTAATTGTGGAAGGCCTAAAATGGAAGATATAAAGTCCAGAATGCGTCAGTGCTGATAAAGGCAGGGGAACCTTATCACCAGGCTTCAATTGTCCTATGGATATTTCCTTCTTTATATTATTCATTATCTGTTTCCTACTTCTGACCCACCTCCTTTGCCTCGCATGGTTTACAGATTTCACAGAGTTGGAAGAATCAGGCCATTTTAGACTTTTAACATCTGGAGCATAAACCCAACCATCAGCAGCAGTACTAGTCCTCTTGTCCAAATGCCAATCATCAATCCATTCCCAACCTGATGGTAGGTCAACTCTTGATGTCGCCTGCACAAGTGAACAAAGGATTAAAAGGCAGTCAAATAAAGGATATTAATTTTTTTTTCCATACAAGAGACAAACTTTTGTATAATTCATATAATTTTTTTTGTGAAGCAAAGTCGAGCCACTTAACCCTATTGGCAAAAGTTTTGAACCTAAAGATCAGAAAAACGTTAAATTCATCCTTCAATTGCAGGTTGCTAGAACAAAGAAAGGAGTATTTGAATGATAAAGAAAGTATGTTCTGAATCTTTTAAAAGAAACAAGTAGTAGGAACTAAATCAGTCAAGATTCTAATGGTCCTACTATAAAAGGCTGACCAAGCGGACAACTGATGTTCATGAACAAAGGATAGTATCAACCTCTTACGGGAATAATTGTATATCTATCCATCCTTGTTTTGACATCAGGTTTGCCACGAGCCTTGTCATTTAATTTTCCTCACATCACTTTGTATACATCTTCAATTATTCAAATAGCAAATAGTTTCACAGAGGCTCTACCTAATGGTAARTTAGGATTCAAATAAAGCTTGGGTTGATTAACATCCACAATCGCACTTGAGGAGTGTTGAAATATGATCTTTGATGCTTTTCTTCAGCCCCACCCATTACCACCCATTACCATTGATTTTATTGCCGTTCCCTTTCTTTTCCAATGCATAGCCAGATACTCCGATGATTTATTTTATTCATSATAAATTATAATCAGCTTTCCTTCCTTATAACAAATTCTTATCTATGATCAGGCTAGGCTTATTTATTGAGGGTTTGAATAATGCTTAAAAAAGTGAATGAATGGCCATAATTTCCTTCTTTCCTTTTCTTTCTTCTCTGTTACCTTAACAACAACAATAAAATTGTCAATGATAAATAACCCCTATTGCAACTATTCAACGACCATACATAAAGTTAGAATATGGTCAAATGACAATAACCATGAAAATTCTGGGGTGGACGAGAGAATAATATACAAAAAGTAATAGATAAATTATAAGAAAAATACACTCCAYCAAAGTTACCTGACCATGCCATATCAAAGAAATAAATATAAAGCACATACGTTTCCAGAAATGAATGGTACAAAATATAACTAAGTTTTATGGATAGGAATGCCAGCTTAAATTCCACCAAACATGTAATAACATGTGAAGTTTATTTTAATCATTTTATTTGAACTACTTATTTTTCAATTGATCACAAATTTGAATTACACTTTCCTATTTTACAGATGTAAAAGCAGCCTGCCTAGTTATCTTAAGATAAGAAGCACATATTTTTACCTCCGTGACATTTCCTTCTGAGCAATCCCGACTGGATTTCAGACAGCTAACCCAGCCATCAGTGGGGTTGTACTTTTCAGTCTCATAGAACTCTTCTGTTACAAACATGTTACTATCAGCTCTTAAGCCATCAGAATTAGTGATCTCATCCAGCAGATGCATGCTTTGCTCGCAATGTTTGGACATGAGGCAAACATCAAGCATAAAATCAGTATTGTTCTGCACAGATACAAGAGACCTAACTGTCACATATCGGCTGCCATCCTTGATGATCAGTTGACTGGCAATGACATCATTGCCTAAGCGCCAACAAGCAGCTGGTGTAGCATAGTTTAGCCTAACAGTAGTCCAAGGCCCAGTCCTGCTTGGACTAATTTGAATAAATCCAGATTTTCTTCCTTTACTTGAGGATTGATTAATGTTTTCAAATTCTGGTTTCGGCGACAAAAGCACAGTACAACTTATTCTTCCACTGAATTTGCATGTTTTGCCCTGTGATATAATTTTCATAGGTATTATACACTAGAGTTAGACCTTGTAAGAATACCAGATGAATGCCGAAGAATTAAATTTCAAACAAGAATATGAAAGTTACCAGTTCAGGTGATGCAAGTTCTATCCAGCTGGACCTATCCATGTAATCACGCACATAAAGTTCATCCTCCAAGTTCTGAGCTATTTGAGTTAAAGGGGCAGAAAAGAATCCAGTAGGGTGACCTGTAGACATGTTGTGGAAGGAAGATTACAGTTACATTGGTAAAATTTTTAATTAGTTTACTACATGAAAAATACACAAAAAAAAAAAAAAATTTCATTATGGTTAGATATCCAATATATGAATTACATTTTCCCAACCCATCAACTTAAACTTTTGGGTTGAGTGGTGGTTTATTAATATCAATAATATTTTTTGAACTTCTTGGCTACCAAAAAATTAGGAACGAATAAATTAAACAGATTTACACAGTTGAAATGAGACAACGTGACAAAATCTTACAATGCAAGATATCACAACCAGAACTACATAAACATATTTATATTTTAAAGTTAACACAAATAACTACAATGTTTTTTTTCCTTGAAAAGAATTTTTATTTCCAAGAAATAGAAATACCTTGCATAAAATTAATAGAATAAAGAACATATCTTATCAAGTCCTTTGATCAGCTTCACATAATGCCTAATGGAGATGATGCGACACCCATGAGTTAGAAAGATACCTTATAGATATCAGATTACACATTTCCCATTCCCATCTTTCCTCTTTATTTTGAATTAAAAGATTCAGATCGGAAGAAACCTATATTCTACAGTTTAATATTCTTGTTAAGAATTCCAGTTCTAGAGTGATTTGAAATTCATATGAGTTCAATTCAATGTCCCATGGTGCCACGTTAGCTTCTAAAGCCATAAATGGAGAAGTTAACCGCAGTGCATAAGTGTGTGCAGGATCTAATATATTTGAAACTGATATTCATATGTGTTATTCACATTTTGCCTTCTTTATTAGATATGAAGAAATTATACCTATGAGATAATAATTATAGAGTTTCCAGTATCCTCAAAAAACAGGAAGTGCAAATGAGAAATATGAATCTCAATATTTCCATGCAGTAACATAATTCATTACCCCATAAGTGGCAAATCGTAGAGTTAAACATAAATGTGAACCAACTGGCTATAAGGTCAAGTAATATCAGTGAGAGAAATTTSTAGGTCATCTATTTATTCCCTTGCTTAAGAGAACTATTAGCACATTGAGGTACCTTTTCCCAAATCCGTTACTATCAATTCCAGCACGTACTTTTCCTGTGTAATTTTGGAAAATATGTACAGCATCAGGGAAGCACAAAGAGAAGGTATTGATAAAGATTGAAGGCATCTATAAAGTCTGGAAAAAATTATAAATTTTCTGATGCAAGGAAAAAGCTTGTTTTTGGTTGAGTTCCTCCAAAAATATATTTCGTTGTTTTTTTCAAGGAAACACAACTATTCATTGATAAAATGAAAACTTACTAAGAAATTGCAGYGACATACATGGAAAAAGGGCAAACTACTCGATACAAGGACAAACCATAATCCATTTGCTTGACCTAAGGAACTAAACAAGCCAAAAACAAAAGCTAGAACTTAAAAAGATATTTGGTTGTGATCCATGAAGACAGCACAAATTTATAGACCCTCATTATCATTTAAAGAATCAAGACAAAACATTATTGATTGGTATGTGTAAATGATGTATTCGGTAGTTACTATTAAAGCTTCTGTTATTAGCTTTTATTTTAAAACCTATGTGTTTTAATTTTAGTTTTAACCCACGGTAACTTGGTTTACCTTTGTTAGTTGTAAAGCTTAGAATCCTATAAATAGGTCTCAACTCTTTCAATAAGATTCATTCTTTCATTCTTAAAACAAACACTCTAGAGCTACATCAGTAAATCATCAATATACTACCTTTTTTAATCCTAATTTTTAGCAAGTCACTGTATTTCAACTTAGTCCTCGTTCAAATTGACTGACTAGCTAAAGTGGCTGWCAAGAACCCGACAAGAATCCTACTAATTCAAGTTTTACAAATAATTTTGCTTTGCAAAATACCACACAGTTCACTGTTTCAAAACTACGACTGTGAGTGGATAAGAACTGCTATAGAATTTCTTTCTAGTAAGCTTTCAAATTCTTTCGTATTAGTTATCAATGACTACTTTCCAGTCTTCCATTCTTGTCAATTTGAAGAAGTTAAATGTCTATATTTTCTTTGGATGGTTATTTCAGAGGTCGGTGATGCCTCTCACAAAAATTGGGGAGTCCTTTTTTTTTTAACAAGAAACAACTTTTCATTGATATATGAAATGGGGATACAGGCTCTCAAAGGAGCGAAAGAAAAAAGAAAAAGGGAAAAAAGAAAATGCTGAGCACAACGAGGAGCAATACAAATTAAATGGAAATTAGAAACCAAAAATCACTAGTGAAGAGACCCAAAAACAAAGAGGACGAGCTTCAATCACCCAGATAATGAATTTGAAGGAGTGACCACTAATAATGAACTACATGCAAAAAAATCCAACATACAACCAAAAATCTTCAYATCACACCATCTTGATCATTCTCGCTCTTTCAGAAAACAAAACTTTGTATTTTGCAWTAATTAGTCAATCTCCCTCTCATACTTTGCTTGGATCTCCAACTTTCTTTTAGCAAATTCTTCTATGCACAAAGTCCTTTCTTCGTTGATATTTTCCAATGGATAAAACTTGGCTCCTCACCCGTAAGGAGGAACTTTGTCTTTTCTACCATTAAATATTATTTTTTGTTTTAAAAAAATAATGAGTTGTCAAATAATTAATGGTAGTAAGGACAAAATTCCTCCTTACTATCCTTTTCCAATTCCAACTTTAGCGAGTATTGGAAGAGGAGTGACATGGAGAAGAAGAGGCCATATTGTTGCTTGCTGAGGAGGAATGAATAACCCCACCATTAGACATGAATAATACAAAAATCTGGAAGGAACTTGACCACAACCAACACCCAAGGCCAATTAATGAATATCTTTCTAACCTCTCTAATACCAAAATCAAGTCCGTAGAAGATGGAAGAACACAAATGAATGCTGAATTTCAAAGGACTACACCAGCAGCCAATCTTAAATGAGACTCCTCGAAATACAACTAGCCAACCAAGCATTAATAGAAAGCCAATCTTAAATGAGCCACCATCCAACTAAGCATTAATTAAGAACCATGGGAAGACGTAAAGTCTTGAAAGTCTAAATCCCTTCTTCATTAATATGAGAGAGAAAGAGGAAGCTGATGTTAGGATCCCAAATACAAGARCCTAACAAGAGCTAAATGCAGAAGCTATTTTGAACCAAAAGTCAAAGGGCAACCCGTTTCCACCGGGTATGAAGAATACTGAATGATTAACTCAACCCCTTCCTTTTTACTAATCTCATAGAAAGCCTATTTCTAATTTTGGAGACGAGCTTACAAAGCTCTCAGTAGCTGAAGGGGTTTAAGTTAACCTTAATAAGGCTTTCTTGGAGGAATGAGAAGTAGTTAGTAAAGATTATTCGGATAAGGTAAATGTTCTGTCCATTGGCACTATCCACACCACTAACGAAGGTTTGCCTCTTCGATCATCTTCCATAGAATTCTCGGATAATGATTTTGAAAATTAGCATGACGCAATCAGTATTAGTAGTTTAGACTCTTCTCCAAAGTCAAACATCTCAATCGAGGACTTTTCTGAGCATTCCTATGCGGACGATTTTCAATCTTTTTTTAACGAACAAAAAGATGAGAAACCTGTTCTCCCACAACAAACAACCATTCCTTCCTTTTTTGAAGTATTGRGGATTACTCTTGTCCCAATTGAGTCTGTTCTCTGAGTTTTATGTTGTTCGAAATGTTGGAATGTTCTCAGTTATGCCTTCTGCAGATTTTAAAGCTTTGCAGTTTTAGTTCGGTTGGTTGGTTGATGAGGTTTTCAAAGTCTTTCTCCAGCTTGCGGTTTGACATTTAGTGGTTTATATATGGAGGCTTTTTGAAGACAGCATTGAGGCTTTGTATTTGAGSTTTTCTCCTTATTAGTATTTTGGCTGCGGTATGTTCTTGTGCCCTATCTTCTACTTGGTTCTTTTTGGAGTTTTGGTCTTCGTTCTTGGTGCTAAGGAAGGTTTTTCCCTCATGCGGTTGTTGTCCCTGGATTTAGTTTATTTTCCCAAGTTCGACAGCAAGCAGTTTTTCTGAGTTCTGTTTTAGAATACTTTTATCTCTTTTGAGCTTGTATTGCTCTTGTTGCAATATTTATTCGTTATTTTTCTATTCTTCTCTCTTTTATTTTCTTTTTTCACCCCCTTTGGGGTTTTGTATCTTGAACATTTTTCCTTTTCATATATCAATGAAAAATTGTTTCTTGTTAAAAAAAAGAACCTAACAAGATAACTACATTGCAATATCCAAAGAGAAATTACAATATCAATAGCCTTTCGRGAGGACTATCTCTCTCCCAACTCTATCAARTTCCTCACCAAAATACTATTCTCCAAGATCCCATTCTCCTCTCCCTACTACCCCTATTTATAACAAGTCACTCCTAACTAATTACCATAATTGCCAAATTCAAAGCTTCTCAATGGTGTGCTCGTTCTGATATTTTCTCTTCGTATTYCCCTAGTATGATTTGTATGAATTGGGAGACCTTCATGCAATGAATGAGTTATTAAAGCTTCTTTTTCTGTCTCCTTTTCAAGTCTCTTCTCATCTCCACRGTTACTGAAAAGACTTTGAGTTTAAAATTCAATCCCATGCATGGACTCAACAATTAATTCATCATCTCCTGATAACAATATCATAAAGTGCTCCTTCGGTTTCCTCACAGATCACAGCCTCTTTTTCGGGAGTTAATGGCACCACAACCTTTTCATTAATGATACCCTCTGACTTTTCCAAGACACTTCGTCAAAAGAGAAAGACCTTTCATCTTCTCTTAACATCAACCTTGTTGGTACAAGATTCAAAGAGTTTTGTTTAAAACCACCAGACATATGATTTGAAAGTCTATCGCCTTCTAATTCGCACTAAAACAATCCCCAACTTCGGATCTTGAATTTCARCTACAGCTGGGGAGTCCTTGAAACTTGAGAACTTAATTGAGACTCCAAGGAGCACCGGGTTTTTCAAAGAATCATGGGAGATCATATTATGTGCTTCAAGTCGTCATATAAAAGAAAATGTATAGCTGGGATTTATAGAGGCTTGATAACAAAGGAAGGTTCACGAAGGGTATGATGAGACTGCAAAATGACCCTTGTTCCACGCAACTAGATTGTATCTGTATGATTTCATTTTCTAAATAACCACAACTATTCTATCTAGTTATATGATTGATGTGTTGCACATACAAGAGAACATTTAGATATCTTTTTTTCAAATCTCTCATCAGTGGTATTCTCCCTTGAGATTCAACCTTTTGAATCATGACCWCAACTACCAATCTGCATATGCCTAACAAGGATTTAGCAAAAGAAGAGAGCGAAAAGGAATTAATAAGGTTTTACACAAATTTCTACCATTTCTATGGAAGAAGTAAAATGTGTGAACATGCAAAAAGTAAATCAACTCTTTATAAGATCAATTTCCACTTCAATCATTCAAGGGAAATGATGGAGGGAGTCCTTTTCGAGTACATTGGTCGCCTTAGTAAAAACCTGTCATTAGGGTATGAAGATGGTTTACCATATGTATTTGTGTACTCGAACTCTTTCTACCAACCTATGCATTTTCCTATCACGTCAAATTAGATGATCTATTAATCCGATTAATGGAGGACTGTAAATTGGTCCATCTTGCAGATGTTGCTGGAAGTACTTTAACATGCTACTATCGGATGGAGTAAGAACTTCAAAAGTTCACGATTTTACTTTCAGGAAGCCATGCCATGCAACTGAATGAAAAAATTGTGGGTTCCTGAAGGTGACCTAAAATCCTCCCAGAAAAATCTACTTTGTGAGAAGGAAAAGACCCATCTTAAAGTTTGTTCATAGAAATGCCATTGTCTTCCTCCTAGATAGCCAATGCTGGTCTTAAACAAACTTGAGCCATTCTATCTCTTTGGAAATAAATTTGCTATGCTTGCTGTATTTTTGACAAGGTCATGTCAATTTAACTAAAATTTGAGTTCAACATGTTGGGTGAGAATTTGGATATGGTCAAAGATGAACCAATTGAGTTATGTTCTAGTTGGCATGTCAACTTAACTAAAATGATCTACGACAACAAAGAAAATATCAAACCCTCTCCAATTTCTCAGAAATCTCAACATATAATTCGGAGACAAAGGAGATATATTCTGTTATTCTTGTAGTTGTCAATGCAGATAATTGGTTTCAATTGGTCTAACCACAAGGTGAGAAGAGCATGTCCACAATACATTCTATTATTCTAAAATATTGACATTCCTCACACTCAATTACAAAATTGCAGAACCAGAGTTAACTTAGAAAAGTTGCATTTAATCAAGTTATAAAAATTTGAAGAGAACATGAATGGGATAAGGGATTAGGCTACCTCCTGTACGATGATTGCCTATATAAAATAAACCCAACCCATACATAGTTTACTTTAAAAACAGCAATAATTCACCCCAAAAAAAAAAGAAAAAAAAGAAAAAAGACTATAAATTATAACAAATAATCTGATTGAATAGCCATGGATCACTATCAACTCGTGTAAAAGTAAATGCATACAACAGTGACAGTAGCTAATGTAAAGTAGTGGATAAACAAATACAGATACATTGAATGAATAAATATGGTACTCACCGGGGATTCAAGTTTGAAAAAGAATATTTCTTTCCAATAGACCAAGTTGATCTCTGAAGATAACGAGTGGTTTGAGCTGCTTCCGGACGTGCGCGCACTCTGTTGATGCTGCAGTTCAGTAAAGACCCCTTGGAGGGGAGTGAGACGAACAGCTACTGTATATTGGTGAGCAGCTGGTCCTTCAACCCTTGGCAACTGTATCAGATGTTTGTCCAAGTCAGATGAACAAGKTCAAATAATCGTCTATGCAAGGAATATATTAAAATAAATGCTAGAGGAAAAGATCTTGACAGTGTAATTGATGAAAAATATATATTATACCTGTCCATCAGAGATAATTATTGTTACCATTMTTCTGTCTTTTGTAAAACGTTTTCCTTCCAAATGTGAGTCTAACATATTCTTCGAAACAGGAACTTTTAAGGGCTTCATGTCCCCTGAAGGCATCCTTATTACATTTTGAAGACCGCGTATCTCAGTAGCTTGGATGTATATGTCCTGACCAAGTTTATTTTGTGGGATGATATAATAGTCTCTCTTGCCATGCAGATTGCCAATACGTTTTCCACCAGAAGTGGAAAACAACGAATCCTATATAACAACTCCCAGGAAAAGAAAGGAAGAAAGAGGATAATGGTCAGTTGGGTTACTACTTGACAGAATGCAAAATTGTAATCATAAGAAGAAAAACATGTACTCTTTTTTTGTTATTCTCATGAACATGCGTAAGATTGATCCAGCTTGCATATGCTTGAATGAGCATATTGACATTAGATGCTGAAACATTCAAATTTAGATCTCTTGCTGAGGTAAGACGCAACTGAGAGGCCGATCCAGGGGCATTTTGGTCGTAGTGGTACCTGAAAGGAACCAGACTAAGTTAATCATTTAATCATGCAAACCTGAATTACTGATTTTGTCATGGGTGTTCTCTTGATGAAAAACATTCTCAATATTTTTAACTCCATCAAGAAAATCTTCCACATTAAACTTCCCACTTTAAATCAATAATTCAATCCTTATTAAAAAGAAAATTTGAAAATCGGTAATTCAATCCTTATTAAAAAAAAATTGTACTTTTTATCGCAATGGTCTGTGTACTGACTGCAGTAAATATTCCAAATTTCTGTAATCTTTTTCTTACACAAAAGGCCCTAAACTCTTGAAAGCTTAACAGAAGGACAAAGATAAAAATATGTAACCATGATTACATTGCAAATAATCCAGTCTCAGATGTACATAGGCTAAAATTCTGGGCAGTTTAGAGAAACAAGCAAAGAGAAATTTTGTAGGAAGTTAATTAAAGGGCTAGCTCGATTGAAGATGCAAAAACAAGGCTTCGTGAATATTGAAAACAAAGTAAACCACAGTTGTACTTGAAGAATTTTTGGGGGTGGAGATTCAAACTCGTGACCTCTTAATCAGAGATATGTGCCTTATCTAATTGAAACATGGATAATCAAATTAAACTTCTAATTTTTTCAAAATGATTAATCCTTTTGGAACTGATAATAGAAATAGTTTTTTTTATTACTGCTAGGCTTATTTTATTTTATCAACGGTAATGAATATTTTTTTAGGGAAAAGAAAACTGTTCCTGAATCATGAAGCAACGGACCTAAATAGACTTTGTAATTCTAGAAATTTATGATTTTTGGAATGCCTTTCTATGTTCTGCATAATTTTTTATTTTACTTGTTGTTTTGTTTTTTCTCATTCCTTTTTTGAGTTTGTATCTTTGAACACTGCGCTTATTTCATTTCTCAATGAAAATTTGCGTATCTTCTTAATAATATATATATATATATATATATATATATATATATAATAGGAAGTTGAAAAAATAGTATTGGCATAAAAATAATAATCTTCTCAAGATAATTACCTTAAAAATCCATCTACAGGTTCTACAAGTGGTTCCCAGGATTCGTACTTATCATTGTATGATCTGGCTGCCAAAGAGAAGCTCACAACGGCATTTAAGTATCCTTTTCTTCCATGAAGACTAAACCCCAACCCGCTAAAAGATATATTGAACAATGGAACCATCTGCCAAAATCAAGAATAAAAATTATGCAAAAACAAATCAATAAAGAAGCCAAACTCATTACCTGCAAATAATGCAATCTAAGAGACGTATCAGTACAGCCGCAAGTCAATTCATAATCAACTAAATGCGCAAAGATGGTTCATACTTTAAATTGAAGAATGATAATTAAGAACAGTGAAATTTCAGCATTTGCCTAGAGTCATATACATAAATCAGAAAAAATACAATGAATCTTAAAAAGGCACTAGCAGTTCCTAGAATCTACGCTTTAAGCTTAAAAACATAAAGTACTCTACTTGAAACAGCTGGTAGGTGCTAATAATGAGCCACACTCAATATGCCAAAATTTATTAAAATTTAAGTTCTAATATAATAGATCTTATCTCGGACTAAACTGCCAAAATTCTTTTGTTCAAATATGCCGTATGCACAAGAGAGTTTAAAATCTTAATTCAGTGATTTTATGAGGAAAGGGTTAATTCTTTCCATAGGAGTGAAAAGGAAGGCCGCTTCCAATGCTTTGGGCAGGGATTACTTGAACTTGAACCTCGAAGTTTTTTTTTAACAAGAAACGAAATTTTCATTGATAAATGAAAAGGAACAAAAATTGTTCAAAGATACAAATCTCCGAAGGGGTGAAATGGAGGGGAATGAAGAAAGAGAAAAAAAAAAAAAGAGATACAAACAACCAAACTTAATAAATGAAGCTTAAACATTACACAAAAAAAAACCTCCCACTTAGACAAATCATGCTAGGAGAATAATTTTGCAAAGAGATTGGAGAGAGCACCCCATTGTGAGGCTTTGAACTTAGCTATACTGAAGCATTCAAAAGCTGAGCGGCTTTTCCCTTCGAAAGTACTTTGATTCCGCTCAAACAATAACTCGGATATAAGCGCTTTAAGGCCGTTTACCCAAGGAAGACTTGCTTTAGGCAAAAAGAAAGGACCAAATAGCAACTGAAAAATTGATGAAGATACTGACTTGTCCTTTACCCAAGCTAAATTGAAGTCATTTACCCAAGCTAAATTGAACATATGAAAGAAAAGATCCCAGTAAACAAAAGAGAAACAAATGCGCTTGGTCTTCGCAAGTGGCGGCACACAAAACGCATATAGAAGGTTGGAGGAGCATGTTAGGCAACTTCTTTTGGAGAGTTTCGGAAGTATTTACTTYCCCATTAAGGAGAATCCATGCTAGAACATTCACCCTTTTTGGGCCGCACGAATTCCACAATCTTGAAACAAATTCCTTAGGCAGAGATGAAGAACCAACTCTAGGCTTACATAGGGAGCTAACCGAAAAGGATTCTGAAGAGTTTAAACTCCATTTCAACTAATCCTCATCATCACAAAGCTAAATCAGATTTAAACATGAYAGCAAGATAAATATTCTTCCAATTCTTCATCCTTTAGCATTCTCCTAACTTCAATTCTCTAAGAAGAAGAATGTGAGTCCCAAGCATCACGGACTGGTACAGAAGTAGAAGAAGAGATCCAAAATAAGGATGGAAACCTATCCTTTAAGATAGAATCCCCCAGCCATAAATGGTGCTAAAATAGAACTCGTTTGCCATTCTTAACCCTGAAAAAGGTGAAGTTTGCCACCAACGACCACTGTTTTTTAATGCAAAACCATGGACTACGACGACTACCAATTTTTCTCCCAGAAACATTCCAGTTAAAACGGTCAATACCATAAATGCTTGCCACAACTTGCCTCCAAAGAGCTGAAGTTTCTATACTAAACCGCCAACCCCATTTGGCTAGCAAAGCATGATTTCTATACAAAAATCTCCCAAGACCCAAACCACCTTTTTCCTTGCAACGAGAGGCAATATCCCACCTGACCAAGTGTTTCAATGTACTCTTCTGACTATATCCCAAAAAAATGATCTCAAACCTTGCTCAATTTGTTTGCTAATAAGAACTGGCATTTGAAATATTGATAAAAAGTACAATGGCTTTTGTCCCTTAAGCTATCAAAGGCTTTGCAAGTTCCTTTTCAGGAAAAGTGTTAGTCTTCCTTCGAGACAAGTAAAGAGGAAAGGGCTGAATTAGTCTATTGGTATTGTAACAACCCGTATTTTCCAATACGGTCATTCTGACAAAATGTGAAAGCGTAAACAACTAAACACTAAATTAACGGAAAGACTTCTTTATTTAATACGATACTATGACAAAAGATAAG